AGTAAAATAACTCCCTATGCACAAGGATGTAAAAGGCAGATCCTGTTGTGACTAAGCCATGGCAATTTATTACAGCTATGGATCGAAGTTGATTGATTGATTGATTGATTGATTGATTCATTCATTCTATGCCTGTTTATATGAATTCACAGTAAACTTATTTTGAAATTATCAATCATGGTTAATATGGCATTGCCTAAACATATCAATTTTTGTAAATTTTTCATTAGCTCAAAATCAGAAGTTAATTAAATTTATACACCTTTTGAAAGTGTAAATACAGTATTTCATGACATGCTGAAAATGTTATAAAAGCTCAACGGATTTAAATACATTCAACCCAAAAAGTTCTTAAGTGAACCAACTTGATAATTCAACCATGCTTTTTAAATTACATACTAGAGCAAGAGAATGAATAAATAGAAATAAAAACATTGCATATCTGATACGTTTCAATTATTTCTTTGTAACCTATGACATTAACAGCAGAAACAATATCGGATTTGGAGCATGTGAAATATCCGGGAGAAGACTCCCAAGGCAAGTGACGATCCTGGGCAGTCCGGAACTGATGAGAAACGCAGTGCCATGACGTAACCAACAGTTCTTCTGAACTCAAACTCACCTCCATAAACTGTGCATGAACTTTAAATTCAGGCGGCGGCTCACCATTCTCTATTGCAGTCTTTCTCCTCTTGTCTATCCCGTTAAAGAGATGCGAGACTGCTCTTGGAATGATTCCTCTCTCATCCGTGCTTGAACTGACATCAAATCCAGTCCCCATGGTGTAAGTTTTACCTGAACCGGTTTGGCCATATGCAAACACAGTGGCGTTATATCCGTCAAAACAACTGCAATGAAACAAACATTGTAAAACAAGATACAGAAAACTGACATCCTTGATGTGAGGCAGTTTGATGTAAATGCTGTCATATCAACAGTATATTTATTTTCATCTCTTTTTGTTGTTGTTATTTTTGTTTTGTTTCTTAGAATAGTATTTGACTATGTTCTATTCAAAATGAATAATGTCAATAAAGTTATTATTATTATCTTTTTTTTTCAACTTATTACGCTCATTTGCTTTCACTTTGCAATAATCTTGTACTTTTTTTTAAAATCACAGTTCAGCCCAAAATAACTAGCTTCACATGATTTCACCCCACACAATTCCAAGTCAAAGATAATTTTTACAGCAGAACAATTAATTTAAGGTCTTTACTGTACATCCACACTTTACATTACTTTATACATATTTTTATTCACTTTGTGTTCAACGTTTTGGGGAAATGTGACAAATCTATGCTTCAAATGTAGCTAATTTCAGAATCAACTACAGAAATGTTATTGCATGTGATATACATTTTAGCTAACTAAAGAGCAGACCAATTCTTTTCAAGTTCAAATGCATCAAAGATATAATGTTGTTGACATTCTGTTGGAACAAAATGCATTGCCAGTGTCATGTAGCATTTTACCATAGCACCACACTGTCTATGAAAACAACCTGCTGCCAGCCAGTCTAGTATTAAATACTGACATTAAAAACAAACTGTGCACATTCGGATGTGAAGAAAACTTAACAGAACCTTGCAGATTAATAATACTAGTAATTTATTAATAAATAATTAACTTTGGTAATCTGCCACATTAAAGTTGGTCTTGTGTAATTCTAAAGCCAGAAGTTACTTCAAGACAAGGCATATTATAATATCTGCACCGGGAAATGCTTATAGAAGGGTCAATGAACTATAGCAAAAGAGATAACAAAAAAGACTTTTGGGAAAAGGTCATCTTAGGAATTTCTAAACAAGGAAAGCTGCAGAGTAATTGGTGACCTTTTGACATTCTGCTGTCAGTTTCCAATTTTCCACAGGAAATGTCATGTGAACCCAATATATGAATGAGTCATACAGTTCTGGAAATTATTAAATGCACAACTAATTCACAAAGTACATAAAATTATTGTAATTATTAACTACTGTTTTTTATCAGCAGAATTTTACATGTGAATGTCAGATACATTATAAATTGGTACCTTGTGTTTTGCTTGCCATTTCTGCAAAGGCACTATTAACAGAAACGCATGCCTGGCAACCGTTCACAATTATAGATTCATAATACATACATGTATTATTAATATATACCTTTTTTAATTTAGCTTAACATGCTATGGGCTTAGGTCAGACAGATCTAATCAAAACATTATGGTTGATCTAGAAAACGCATGATATTGTTTTCCCCAACTCCACTCACTACATGAAATACTAGATGCGGTAGACATGGACAAGAAAAGAATTAATGAGAATGCTTTTGCAGGGTAATATTTCTCTTGCATAAAAAAAAAAAATCAAAAAAAAAAACATTAATAAGACTTTTTTAATATCTAGTCTAAAGCTGGTCAGATTTTCATCAAACACAGGGTTATAAGAACTACTAAGTATAGGATAAGTGTTAGCACATGAATTAATAAATTACACCCAACTTTGAATTCAACAGAAGTGATTTTGTAAGATTCAAAAATAGGGACTGGTATATGAAGATTAACTCAGAAACTTTGTTATTAATAGCTACTTGTCTAATCTAAGAAGAAGCAGACAGACTTGTCAGAATGTGCACATAGCCAGATTAAAACCTCATGTGCACAGTATGGCTTATTTGGCAGCTAATGAGATTCCATGGGAACCTTAAATTAAAACTAGATATGTACATGTACATCCAGGAACCTGTAAATAAACCCCAACCCACATCTGTTAATACTAAACCATAAAATAATTGTATTTTGACCATAGAAACAGCCCTGTAATACTCGTGAGCACGTGTATTACTAATAATTGAGGAAGTACAGTATTATTTAGTGAATAAAAGTGAAGCAAGACATTTTGTATGTCAATCAAATTACCTCTACTGACATGATGGATGATGATTGAAAAAAAAAAATATGAGCTAACAGTGGACAATTGCCACAAATCCAAATGAGGGAACCCTAAAGCATGTAAACACCAAAATTTAAAGCAATATGAACAATAGTTTTCAAGAAGATGATGGCCGAACAATAAGAAAAATAGTCAGCCATTGGATTCAAATGCATCAAAACCAACCAACCATATATAGAGAATAGGGTAGCTTGCATCACACCCTTATGAGATTGGAGGCCATACATTCAAATATTGAGCTGCTCTAAATCTGACAGATGAGAATAATGACAGTGCCCTATATTGTCAACAGTTTGCCCTCTATGTCGATATGACGTACAGAGACGTTTTCTGACGCAACTAATAATGCTCATTCTTTGATGCACCAATGATGCAGAACAAACACATGATAAACTCATCTCACTATAGTTATGGAATTTCTAATTTTATAAACAAAGCAAGTGTAAGCAAAGAAAACTTCTCTACGGCCACAAACAATCATGGCCTATTTTCACGAAAATACAATTTAACCATGTCTAGAAATTTGAGTGTCTTGTTTGATTTTTTCCTGTAATGTTAGATTGTTAGTGTTAGTTATTTTTTAGGTTTTCAGAATTTATTACTTGTACTATTGTACTTTTCATCAAAACCTCAAATATGGGACTGGATACCAATAAATATATTTTATCCTATTGGTGAAGATCTTTCTCCCAAGCAGTGAACAAGCTTTAACCCAATTTTATTCTGGGAAGTACCATTTTGACTCACAAGCCATACAAAATTAGTCCGGTTAGAGCGAGGGAACACTGACTGTCACTATCATGGAAATTCTGTGCTCATATTGTTAGCATTCATGTCATATTATCTTTCCTGTCTAGGTTTACATATCACTTACCCTTCAATGAGCTGATGTGTACTTTCATTGTAGACAGCATCTTGTGTGCTATCCATATCAAATACATGGTCATATGTAAATGCTCTGTCTTGTCCAAGCGTTATTTGCGGTTCTCCTGGTGTTACAAAGGTGCATGTACGACACATATCGATCTTTTCACGTGCCAACTGTGGTCGAATTCTACAAGAAAAGAAAAATAGATAAATATTACGTTGACTAACTTTGGGAAGTGCCTGTCAAAGGGATCGTTTTGGGTATTATATTTTTTTGACAAAATTGTCAAAAAAAATATTAAAGCATTAACTCTATATAAGCCAAAATCTCGCACAAAAAAATTACAATATTTAATACATTTTATGTTAATGCTATGCCCCCTCCCCTTCCCCCGCCAAGTTGAGTTGAGCTAAGCACCACTAAAACTAAGCACTTCCTCATATTGTTAACAATGCGAAAACGGAGCAGGAATAGATGGTAGTCTTAAAATCTTATATTTAGTAAGCACATCCCTGGAGTTTTTTTCACATCATATACCATAGAGATTCTTATAACTTGGTAGCTTGCCCTTGTCCCCCCTAGAGTCCATCCCTTTTAACCACAAACAGAGATAAGACAAGGCTAAACACCAGATGGTAATGCACATTTATAGCCTGCATAAAACTCCAGTCTTCAGTGCCATTATACTGTCAATATTTTGTAATCGTGTCTTTCTCAGTAGCTGAGTTTCTCGGACACAAATAAACATATACTGGAATGTTACAGTGACAACAGTCATTATGGAGGAGACTCCAGGCAACACTTTTCATTGTTTTGATTCACAATAAACACATGTTCAGAAATACATGTATGTCTACAAAAGTTTTTACTATAACAGAGACCCTACAGAAGATAGTGGGAATGACAAACAATTGGACCTGAGATGAACATAAAGATAATTATGTATTTAATCTTAAGGCAGCATTTATTTATTGAGTTGTCATACCGGTATTGCACAATAACAGTATTACACATGTGTACTTGACCATTCATACCATAGATCAAATAACAATTCCAAACCATAGTGTCATAGTGTCTTAGTGAATTGTGGGATACACAACTCAATTTGGCCAATCACAAAGCATGCCTGATCATGTGGATACCTGACAACAATATGCACTCATATTTGGAATTGCGATATGGTGTACGAACTCTTCAATTACAAGCATCCCTAGCAAATGTGAGATTTGTAGGTGAAGATCTCAGTTTGTTGCGATTGCATCTTTGGCATTGATAACAAACCCTATTGCCCAAAATTATCTGAATTAAGGTTCGATTTACTATCTTGAAATTACATAGGAGAAAGTTATTGTGATCTGGTTTGCATGGATATTTAACAAAATAATATTAAAGTTAGTACAATAGACATTTAGTACCCGTAGATGTACATCATGCACAAATGCTAGGAATTTCATTATATAAAGAGAATCCAGAGAAATTGACCTAGATGATGAGAAAAAAAAAAAAGAGACCACATTGGTTTGAAAGGGTGTTTTTCAGTTGTTGCTCCAGGAAAATCTAGTACCGGGGTTATGTACATTCCAAGCTCTAGTTTCAAACATGAAATCTACAACAGAAATCACAAGGCAGGAGACCTTTAATGTAATTCATAGTAGCATGCATGTTGCATACAAATGAGTGCAGTCATTGAAATATTATACAAGAATGAGTCTATGTATACTCAACTGAGTGCAATTAAACTTACACTCAGAAAAGCAATCTGATGGAAGTATGACAGAATGTTTTGACAGTATGAGATTTTTTTTTCGCTTTCCACAGATGCTTTTTTTTTCTTGCATGCATACTATGCTAACTGGGGTTTTGCATCTGGCAAGGATAAACATGAGAACCACTTTAACATTGCATTCTGTATGTAAAGTAATTAACCCCAGAGACATTACTCAGGGCTATTGATTGCCAAACATAAATCATATGCAGGTTAGTTTTGAAAGAGCAACTATGCTTTGATACAATTTACAGTGAACAGAAAGGAGTTCTTACTAAGCCAGTGTGGTGACACACTTTGCACAGGACATTTAAACCATGCTGTGGTTATGTACATGTCATTTTCAATAAATCATACACTATACTTCATTGGTAGACTCCAATTATCATAAATTTATTACAAATGTACTTCAAATCTGGCAAAAGTAAATGAATTATTGGAAGAACGTCATTTTTAGGTGGGTTTAAATATTCATAATGAGAGTCAGACCCACTGACTTGGGAGTTCATCGATGTACATCATCAAGCCCTATGGAATATCCTGTATACTCTGACCTACTGATGCATAACTTCTCGCTTTTACTTACTGTCCTAGACAATAAACAGGGGTTGGGTTGAAGCAGCATCTAAAGTGTAGACCCATTACAATGAATTAACTACTTAAAAAAATAACAACCATTAGCAAACAATTACTAGTGGTGACCTCAGATGACCAGACAGTTAAGTATTAACATATCAATATGCATTACAATACTTATGTAGTATATACAGGATTTGTCTCAAAATCAGCTTAGGACTTTTTATCTAAAATGACAACTAGCAATTTCTAATAATTTGCCATATTTTGGGTGTAAAACAAAAAATTTAACTGAAAACACTTTTAATCCCTTTGTCTGAAATGACTGAACAAGTTTAGGACAATTTGAAGAAAATACCAGGAAATTACTGATGTCCAGTGGGTATCTGAATCGCAGGGTACATTAACCACCTTTTTTATAGTATGGAGCTTAAACTAACAGACAACATTCCTGTTGCAAGTTCTCTGGTAATTCATGTCAGATACAATAAATTAAAGTAACATAAGCAGGATAGCAGTACAGCACTGTAATGTCATGAATTCATTTACTCATTCAGTGTACACTCTCCAGTAGATCAATCAGACTGCACTTATAGCAAGATTTGATGTCCCATGTGATGTACGTCTGGCATGACACCCTGAATCAATTAACAACTGAAGCCGAATAACCAACAAGACTGAGAGATGTTTAATTGCAAATCAAATCAGACATGAAAAAAGATGCGCAATGACTGTATGTGAACATAGTCTCGTCAAAAAAATGAAAGAGTTTCTACTTTCGTCAATCTGAATCATTTGACGACACATATGTATAAACACATACATGTACATGTACCAAATTCACAGCTGAATACTAAAGAAGATGCCACATGCAATTATTGGTTTATGTGCACTTCAACCGAAGATGCATTTCTAATAGAGTAAATTAAATATAGTACTAGTATATACACAATTCTCTTTTTAAAATTATCTTGAATTGAAATAAATATCTCATCCATACAGTGGAGTCACAATGAACCCCAACCAGTTGTACATGTGTTTGGCACAGATATTCTTCACTCTAGATAAAGAATCCTCAAGTTACAAAGTCAATAAATAATTACAGCCATTTACACAGATTATCAGATGTACTGCTCACTGAACTCAAAATAGCAACTATTAATGTTGAATCTGTAACCCACACCATAGTAAAGACTGCTATTATATCCACAACATGTAACAAACAAACAAACACACACCTGCCAAAGCCAAGCACAATGCTGAAAAAATCTACTAAGGTAGTATACAGCATCCAATTGAAGCTGAGCTCTGAAGGCATTCATAGAGGTTTTAATACTGCAGTTTTTAGAGTATTACTAAATATTTTATGAAATATTTTATGGTATGAATTGTGGAAAATATATAATAAACATTAAAATTGTGATGATTTTCAGCATATCTATATCTGAGCCCCGACAATTGATTTTAATTTCAAATTTCGTTACTAATGCTTCTGAAAACATTTGATTCTGTTCAGAATTATTCTGAAATGCAGAAATCACCAAATTTTGTAGCAGTCTCTGCTGTCCTATGACACTGTCACTGTTGGTGAATTTTGTAATCTCAAAAAATGTCATCAGCAAAAAATAAATGCTTTAAATTAGTCAGTTATTGTTTTAAGTGTATACATGTTCATGCATACATTATACAAGGTACAAACATATGGACAGATATAATTAACATTTCATTACACAAATAACTGCTTCATCTTCATATGTCATTAAACTGGGAATTAAGTAGAGTAAAAAGAATTATATAAAGAGACCATCATAGTTTTTTCACAGTCCCTCTTTAGACTGGTCTGAAAAAGGCAATTGTTTGAGGTGTGAATTGGTTCAATCCTGTTAACAATGCATACATTGCATAGCAACGACAATTATAGTCATTTTTTTCTGATTTATTTATTAAAAGTATCATAAAAAAATCTTTAAAACCATGTTTGGAATAGTGGGTGTAATACGGTGGGCTAGTTCAAGTTGAATTCTACAAAATACATTACAAAACGTTTTAATACTGTCCATGGTCACTTTCTGTGGGCAGGTACGTGTCTTCAGCAGTTATTGATAAGCATGAATATCGTCTAAAAGGTGCGAGTTATTATTACCCATGACATGCTCTGTTTAAATTCAGTCAGTTTCCAGACCAGTCCATGGAGGGACAACGGTTTTCTCTATATCCTGCTCAAATGATTTAATTTTGAATTTCATTTTCTATAGTCATCAAAATTGACCATCATCTTATATGTGAAGCATATTAATTATTAAGCAAGGAAACACCTTTAGAATACTTTTAATTATGTTGAATCACACACGATGTACCGTACTAGTATTGACGCCACTGAGACATAATGATCTTTGTTTGTCCTTTTTTTACATTTCGCAGTGAACAAAAATTGGTTTATTGCAAACATTTCTGGTTACAACAAAATTTGTTACAGGTAATATTTACCTACCGGGGAGGGGGGGGGGGGGGTAACACTCATAAACTCATTTATAGCCTGCATAATCAGGTAGAAAAACAACAGCATTCCAATTAAAAATTATACAAATAACTTAGCTTATCACAGATAGAGGAAGTTGTATGGAAAATATCACGAATCCAGCCCCTGGGTTAAAGATAAACAATCCTTCACTGAACATGATGGATAGTTTATAATCAAGACCCCCAGCCACACGTCTAAAGTCCTACAACTCCAAACAAAACTAACAGAAACAATAAGCAGAAAAAGAAAGTATTTCCTAACACTGTTTATTACACATGTTTCACCGCTATTGTTAGGTTACCTCCCTATAGATAATCTGAAAAC